CATTTATTTTTCTCTTTTATCAAAAATAATATTCAGACCTGCAACTGTTTATATTCTTATAAGTTATAACCATTGATTATAGAATAGAATCTATTCTATAATCAATGGTTATAACTTATAACAGATGTTCTATAGTATTTTGTCATGACACCACATTTATTTATTTTCTCATAATTTTGATTGATTGTTAGTAATTGTATTCAGATAAAGAAAATTTTTTGAAARGAATTAAAAAACTGAATCTTTTGTTATTGACTTTGACTACTGCTACAAAAAATAAGTTGCTTTATTAATTTCTGTATAGCCAAACACAAAATAGAAACATACATAAAAAATAATAATAATTTAATTTAGAAAGACTTAGTAAATAACAGTCTCCTACATTTTGCAGTCTGTTTTAGATAAAATATCACTCATTTTATGGTTTCTTTTAAATTATTCAAGTAAACTTATCAAATCTTAATRAAAAAAATAGTATATAATTTTTACAATTTTTCATATTATATTGTATAATATATATATATATCATACTCTTCACAATAGTTTGCAATAAACATTTATACTTTCTGAAAATAAGGTGTCATTAAAAGCTATGATTTTAGGAAAGAAATTAACATAAGATACAATTTATTAACTTATAAGTTRCTGCTTAACATGGAGAAAATTAATCTCATTAAGTTAGGAATAAATTTCATTTTAGAAAAATTGTAACTTTTTAAGGGTACCAAATACCCAAATAAAAGTCCCAATATGCGATCAATAGTATTATTATAATTATTATTATTTATATTACTGTAAATTTAAAAAGTAGTAATTACAGCGGCTKTTAATGTTCATGGTTCAGAATTAGATTAGAGACTAGAGCTCTAGGTGCTTTTAACATATTTGTCAGAGTAAATTTCGTAATGTACATGAGTTAGGTTTACTACAGTCTCTATTATTTGAAAAATTTTGGTCTGCACACTTAATTTTACTGTCTTAACGGAAATTTTTTTCTCGCTACTGTCAAAGAAAAATCAATGTATTACACATATATTTTAATAGTGCCAACAAAACTAAATGAAATGGAACATGGAACTCAACATACAACTTTTCTTATCCACAACAACAAATCTTACAGAAGTTAAGTTAGACCACAGATCGTGGGTTAGACATGTTTCGACTATATTTTGTTTTAAAACTTAAAATTACAAAGTATGAAATTTAACATATATATTTATTATTTAACGAATATTTCCGTTGCTGTGTATATTGAAATAGATCTATCCATTCTATCCTAACACTACTACACTTAAGAATSTTTTTTAAAATCGTGCAATTCGTGTTGTATTCACTTTTGCAGCCATTTTAGGTTTTCCAGAGTGATTACAGGTTACCACAGCGGTCCTAGTGTTTTCTAACCTTTTTAATACCTATTGTCTATTCATTGCCTCAWTAGTCATTGACAGACATTTAGTTTATTGTACTATTTAAATTTTATATTATTATAATAAAATTCTTTCGTGCTATGGTGTCTTCGCACAATTTATTGATAYTTGAATTACCCTTGAATCTTGATAGATTACTGTGTATTTGCACAAACAAATTTAAATACTTAATGGTCCTATTGTCCTAAAGCTTATATTAATTATTATAATATTAAATTTTATTTCATAATTTATTATATAAGATCGATAACTATTACATATTAATATATTATATTTTATACTCTACACATTGCAGTTTATAAATATATAACTAGTATTATTCGATAGTTTTATGCACGATTAAAGATAACTTTAATCGTGCATTCATATTTCATGCTTCTATTATTTATGCATGGAATATCGAATATGTGTTGTTCGTGGTCTATTCACTATTATATTATGTGTTATGTCATTAAGGGTCTATGGTAAATTGTAACTATAATAGTCACCAAGATCTATAAAGGTTATCTATATTCTTTGTAGTTTGTAATGTAATATTGTAATGTAATCAGGTTACATATTATTTTATCAATATTGTTAACGGAACTTCTCAACTTCCGTAAATCATTTAATATTCACAGTTTATAATCGATATCATATGAGTTTTACGGTTTCGATTTTAAAAGTCCGTTGATAT